AAATGGCAAAGAGGGCCCAAGCCTACCCTGCTGGGTCCCCAGAGCTAGGTCCCCTTGGGTGGTTTGAAGACTTGCACTCCAGGGTCAGGAGTCTGAGCCTGGTTGCTGGAAACTTCCTGTGTAGCACAGCCTCAGCCCTCAAGTCCATTCTGGTTGCCTTGGGAACCCCTTACAGCATTCAGCCAAGTAGAGGGACCGCTCTACCACTGTACTGGAGTTGCCACAATGAGAAGAAACAATCCAATAGCTTCCCATCAATGGTTCCAGCCCTGAGGATGGGCTTGTGTGGGTGACAGACAGCTGGTAAAATACCTCTTGCCTCACTTCCTTAATCCAGAAAGGACAGTGTGGAGAGGCTAATGAGGCTCTGAAGCTGGAGGGGTTTGGCAAACAAGCCCCTCAGCTAGGAGTTGTGCGGGTATCCCTACTGCTCTGGGGTTTGGAGTGTGACTGCTGGCACACACCCAGGCCCGTTTTCCCTTCCCACTTCTCTCCTCATTAGCATGCTAGGAGCACCAGGCACTGGGCAGAATGTTCTAGTGTTGCCTTGGCAGGGAGAGGATCTCTCCTAACTCTGAATGCAACACTCTGCTCTGCACAGCTGTCAGTAGCTTGAGTCACCAGTCTCAGACTGTTCCAATCCCTGGGATTTTGCTTTCTCATTTTATTGATAGCTAATGCTTTGAAAAGAGATTACTGATAGTATCTACGGGGACTTTCACTTAGCTAGAATATTAGGTTAACCAAAAAAACCCAAGCGCCTGCCTGCTCCCTAGGCCTTGTGGATAGAGTAAAATGTCACAGTGTCTTGGAGGACATTGTGCAGCTTCCCAAGTTTACAGATGGGGAAACTGAGATCCAGGTGTCCTAAGCATTGGATAGGAGAAAAACATCTGTGAGAAGTCCATTGCCCTAAAATCCACAAATGTTAGATCCAGGAGCACCTTAGAGACTATCTACTCTAACACCTTAATCTACTTCTGGTCCAACAACCATTGTGTTACAAATAGGGGGGTGGTAACTGTGTTTGTTCCTGGGAAATTTCCCAGGGATTGTTCCTGAGTTTTAGCCCCACACATGGCCTACTAAGTGGTCAAAACAGGAAGTGATGGGGGAAGACCTTGGAGGACAGACTGTAGGGCGGAACCTGTATAACATGCTGTACAAGTGACTGGGCAAATGGGCCAGCAGAGACTTGGTGGTGCAGTGAGCAGGGCCGTCCTGAGGGTCACAACAGACAGGAAGAGAATTGGGACAATTGTAGTGGGGAGGGTCTTGAACACCAGAATAAAGAGTTTTTCTCTAATTTACTTTATCAGGAACCTCTAATGTATTTCATTCAGGACCCAGACCTTTTCTCTATTGCTCCTGCTGCTGCCTGACCCAGACCCTCCTAACTTCACCTCTGGGAGGAGTTAGCCTCCTAACTGGTCTCCCTCCCTCTGACCTTGTCCCTCCCTGGCATACTCCACATTGGCTTGTGCTGGGTCCTCTCCTTTTTTAAAGCACTTCCATGGCTCCCTGTTGCCCACAGGACAAGATTCTGGCTTAAGTGGCTCTGTGTGGTTTGGCCCCACCTCCATCTGCAACCCTCACCCCTACCCTATGCCACTGCCTTTGGCCAGGCTGCTCCTCTCATCTCACTGGTGAACACCTATTCATCTTTCAAGATCCAGCACAAGTTTCTGGTTGGGAGAAGCTTTTCCTGACCCTTCTGAGGCCACTAATATGCCTTGAATATGTTTCTGTTTTGAAGGTCATATCGCATTGCAGTTCTCTATTTCCAGAACACTGACTGCTCCCATCTTTTGAGTGTCCCTTGTGTAATGGGCACTGACCCATGTTCTGTGCAAGCATTATTTCATGTTATTCTCGCAGTAACCATGGGAGGCACATTTTTTCATAGTCCCACATAGGAACAAGGATGCTAAAGTTCAGAGAGTGGTCTGATCTACCCAAGTCATGCAGCCAGAGGGTGAAGAAGCTGGGATTGGAGCCCAGTTTTATTTGACCCAATTTTTGCATTCTTCCATCTCCTGGTCCCTGGACCCCCACTGTAGGTCCTCAGGAGGCACTGGGCATGTAAAAGACCAATCAAAGGATTGGATGTAGTACAGTTGCTATGGGGCAAACAAGATGAAGACATGGAGGGAAGCTGGAGTGAGGAGAGGCTGGGAGAGATTCTCAGCCCCATTACCCATGGCTTAGGGTTTCCTTTCCTTCTTCCATTCCAAGTGGGAGCCTCTGGCTATCTGGGGACAGGTCTATGGGACTCCAGACTGAGCAGGTGGCATGGTGACAAGCTCCATGGCAACATGCCTTCTCTGTGGGGCCCAGAGGGGATGGAAGACCTGAAAAGGCACTGGGCACACAGTGAGGCATCACAGCAGGATCCTGGAGAGGTAGCTCCTTTGGGGCCCCACGTGGCTTCTGACCTTGCACAAGGGACCTTGCCTGTGAGGTCCCATCACAGCAGGGGAAATGCCACTTCCACCTCCTCCCTGAATGAATGGCTGCTTCTGGCCTCCCAGGAGAACTTCATCTGTATCCAGGTACAAATGCCACCTAGTTCCCACCCCCAGCCACAGAGGAAGGAAGGAACTCAAGAAGAGGAGGCATGGGATTGCCAAGCAAAGTAGTAGCAGGGGCAGCTGGGACAGAGCCTTCATTGTACCAAGGCCACACGCAGCCCCAAGCAAGTCTGGCATCTTGCCTGCCTCCCAGGACCTGAGCCTGGAACTCCACCTGGATGTTCCTGGCTCCTTAGCAACCCTCCCTCAAGCGGCTTAACAGAGAGAGGCCCATCCTGGGATATGAGTCCTACCTCTGCTGAGAATTCCTCCTGAAGGCCATCCTCCTCCCTGCAACCTCCCAAAAGCCAGGAGGGAGGGGTCATGATGGGAACATTGCTTGTGAGGCCAGGGAGATATGAACGGACAATCAGAGCTGGCAGAGCTGGACCTTGGGCCTAAATGAGATAACAAAGCCTATTGGAAGTCATGGGCCAAGGAGCACAAAAGTGCTCCACAGGATCACCTGCCACAGAGGGATTCGGTCAATGGTAGGTGATCCTTGAAGCCCTTGCCCGCCCATGAACAAAGACTATCAGACCTGTCCACCCACCCCCAGCTCCTGTACCCAGCAGGCAGTGAGCCATTTGTGGGCATCTGGGGAGGTGGAGCACTGCTGGCCCCACCCCTATACCTGTCCATGGCTCCTGCTGCGGGGGCTGGCCCTATGGTTCCACAGGCCCTGCCCAGGTGACTGGGCCATGGTCTGTGGGAAGCATTGCTAAGCTGGGTGAACGACTCAGGTGACGGGTGTGGTGTCAGCCAGGCACCCGACACCTCCGGGCAGACAATACTGGCTGTGTCCAGGCCTTCCAGGAGAACAGGACACACTCTGTGTCACAGCAGGAATCAGGCCATCTGAGCAGTGCCTTTGTCCACTCAGGAGGCAGTCCTGCCACTGGCTGGGAGGAACAGGCTCCAGGAGGCCCTGACATGGAAAGGAGAGGTCCCTGGACCAGGGTTTCAGATTCAGCTCCTCAGCATCTGATTCGGGCATGGTTCAAATGCCCGAATGCTCTGGGGTGTGACTCAGGCAGGTCCCTTCCCTCTCATTGGTCCTGACTCATCAGTGAAATGGGACTAACCATAGCACTTCCTCATAGGGTTGTTGGGAGGAGTCGATGGCGTAATGTACGTAATGTGTGTGCCATGGGGTCAGGTATGCAGTGGGGCTCCATAAACGCTTCTCTTACAGCATGGGGGTGGTCCAGGGATGGCATCCTCAACCACCTCCCAGAACCCAGGCTGCCATGTGCAGTCCCTGCTCTGAACAGGAAGGAGAGGGCTGGGGTCTCTGGAGCTGGCTCAGGACCAGCCCATGGGCTACAGAGAGCCTGGGCCCCTCTAAATGGGCCTGTGGGAACTCAGGACTGATACACAGTACAGTCCCCCTCTCCACACAGCTGCACCCAGCCTGGTATGGGGCCTACTCCCTCTTGACACCATTGTGGCACAAGCCCCCTCCCAGGAAAGAGACCTAAGGACTCCTAGCAGTAGCCAGTGGCCTGAGTTTACCTACCCACTTCTCAAGAGTCTTCCCAAGCATGGCCGCTTCCTGCTGGGCCCACCTGCAGAGATACCCAGTAGCAAGTTGGGAGGGCTTCTGCTCCCCTGATCCCCATCCTCATCTGCATGGCATTTGTGCCCTATGTTCCTGGGATGTGGCAGAATCCTCATGTACTTGCATGGTGGGTACAGACATGCCTGCTTCCAGCATGGGGCCAGAGCCCAGCTGCGTGTCTTGCATGTTGGGTAGGTGCTTGGGCATGTTCACAAAGACATGTGTGGCACATCTTGGAATGACGGGACATGGTACCTTTTCATATTTGTGCATCTCCATTTGTCTTTCTACACGTGTGCCCGTATGTTGGTCTGTCTTGTCTCCCCTGTAGCCGGGAAGCCCTGAACCACGCACCAACTGGGAAGGTGACAGTCAGCGAGACCAGCCTGCTCTGATGTGGGGTTCCTGGTCCTACTCCAGGACTCCTCTATCCTGCATCCCCCTGCCAAGGAGGGAGGACTGGACAGCGGGAGGCGGGGTCTGAGTGGCAGGGACCTGGGGAGAAACAGGCCTGGCTCATAGAGTAGAAGACCTGCTGCCTCTGTGAGCGTGGGCAAGGCCTTCACCTACTCTGGGACACCGTCACTCCACCAAGGACACGGGGTCAGACTGATGAACTCTAGCCCCTGCTGAGGCTCTGAGGACTGTGATTTTAAGTCAGGCAGTGGGAGCCTGTGTGCCAGCCCCACTAAACTCATTGGTGGAGACAGCTGTGGCCAGAGCCCAGCTTGCCAGGCCCTCTTCTGGTCCTGGAGTGTCCTGTCAAAGGGTGAGAGGAGAAACCATGCCAGGCAGCGGTCCCAGCGAGAGGATGACATGGCCCAGCCCGGCCCTCCCCGCGGCCCCCCCAACCCACCCTCTTTCCTCAGCCCCGGGGACACCGCCCATCCCGCCCCTCACCCGGACCCGCAGCCTCATGGCCATGTCCTTGCCGGGGAGTAGACGAACCCCTGCTGGATCCCGCAGGTGAGTCTCCCCTTTGCCCAGAACCTTGGCCTCAGGGACGGGAGGAGGGAGGGCCTTCATTTCTACCTCTGCTGACATGTAGCATGTTCCCAGTTTTCCCTTCTTTAAAATAGGCTTGCCAACATTCACTTCCTCCAGGAACTATTTAAGGCCCAATGACACAATGGATCTGACAGTTATCTGGGGTCTTAAACTACTGGGTTCCTACCAGCCCCTGCCCCACCATTATCATGCCCAAAAGGAAGGCATACAGGTGGCCTCCCTTCAGCTTCACCCTCTTTCCCCACTCTGCTGGCTCCATTCTTCCCCCTCTTCCCCTGGGCTTGGGGAACCCTGAAAGTTGAGGATCCTTGGTAAGGGCAGATGGGGGTCTCACCCTCTGCTCACAGTCCTGCCCAGCCTCCATTCTTGTCCCTTGGGAACCAGAATGACCAGCCTCCTTCTGGTTTCCATCTTGATTTCCACTGTTTGTTCTGTCACCCTTCTCATGTGTCCTCTTCTCCCCCTGCTTCTCTTCCCTGTGGTGACCCCAAAGTGGGGGCACTTTGGGCCGCAGCGGCCTGGCAGTGTTCGCCCAGTGCCCACAGCTGCCCACCAGCCAGAATGAGCACCTGCCTCTTCTCCCCGCCTCCAGGCGCACCTCTCCACCCGTGAGCGTGCGGGATGCCTACGGCACCTCCTCCCTCAGCAGCAGCAGCAACTCTGGCTCCTGCAAGGGCAGTGACAGCAGCCCCACACCCAGGTAACCAGCCCTTCCCCATGGCCTCACTGCCTGGCAACCTGGTGTCTGGAGGAGGTGGAAGCAGCACGGTATTTGCCATCTTGACACTGTGTGCCCTTGAGCAATTCATTTCTGCCCTCTGTGCCTCAGTTCCTTTCTGTAAGACAGATGTGATAATACCTGGCTGAGGCTTAAACTAATCAGGCCTCCCCAGGAGGCAGCCAGAGGCAGGCTTTCTGGAGCATCAGGGGTCTCCCCTCTTCTTGTTCCACCATCCTTGCAAAACAGCTTTTGTTCTCATCATCCCAAGATGGCTCCTGTACCTCCAGCCATTGGTTCAGCTATCGAAGAAGATAGCAAAGACCAAAGTTCCCATAAAGGATTTTTTTTTTTCTTTTTCCTGAAAAGGGACACCTTCCCCAGGAAATTCTGCCTATACCTCGCTGGCTGGAACGGGATCAGGTGACTGACTAGCTGCCTGGCCAATTAGTGCAGAGAGAGTTAGTTTTTTCCCCTGTACAAGGCCACCCAAAACAAAACTGGGGCTCTGTTGGGAAGAAGGCAAGGTGGATGTGGGGAAGCAGCCAGGAGCATTTGCCAGCTTGTTCTCCTCAGAGGATAACAAGAATGGCAGAGGTGGTGTCGGTTTGGAAAGCAAAATGCGTTACAGAGTTGGTACGGGCTGTTGTGGTCTTGAGCATGGTGAACCGAGACCTGAGACACAGGTCAGGTTGGAGAAGCAAGTAAAGGGGAGCTGTGGGTCCCGAAGACCAGAAAGTGAGCAAGAATGGTAGCCTCAACCTATTTCCCAGGTTGAAATACAGGACAGTGAAGGAGCATGGGAACCAGCATGGCTCTGGATTTGGTCACTTCCTGTCTCTGAGACTCATTTCCTTGTTGGTAAAATGAAGCTAATAACTGGAGGTGTCAATGTGTGGTTAGACGTATGCCACCTGCACATCCTAGATGGACGGTTACAGCCCTTCAGAGGCCTTTGCTCTGACTTGAGGCAAAAAGATGAGGAGGTGCCTGGCCTGCCTCCCCCATGGCCAGATCACATCTCGGGAAGGCTTGTCTTGCCCCTTGAAGCAGAAAAGATGTCATTTGTGTGCCATGATGTCTGGAGCTGCTGCAGCCACAATTCTCAGGGGTTCCACCATAACAGCAGGAGAGGTGACACATGTGTGCAGGTCCCATCCTGCCTATAACCCACCACAGAGCCTGGGGTAACAGAAGAGTGGTATGCTAGCTTTCATTTTGAAAAGTGTATAGTTGGCAACTTGAATAGTTTTTCATTAGTAACAGATTTTTTTGGCCCACATCATCTACCTATAGCCCCTGGGGCAGTCCCAACCTCCAGGCTGAGCCCTGCTTCTGCTTAAAATGTTCTCTTGCCCCCACCCCCACATGGGCTGCTGCCCTTGGGTGAGCAGTGGGGCCTCTGTTTGAACCTCACTGCAAATAACCAGGCTTTCTAAGCTGTGAGTAGCTGAGAAATGTATTATAGCATAGTTTTCTTCTTAGTTTCATACATATATAAGTATATATTTGTTTCATAAATTTTATTATGTACAAAATGTATATAACATATAAAATATTTATATATAATATATAAAGAAGAATGATGTGTATATTGCACATAATTTTATACAATTACATAGAATTATATAGAAGTGCATAACTTTTATATATAACTTTTTTTACAAAGATAGAGCCAGTGACTAAAAATGGGATAGTGTTATATTGGGGGAAAATATTCATGAAAGCAAATAATAAAAGTTAAAGCAGTCAGTCACTTCCCTCAGTCCTCAATTCTGAGTAGTTTAGCTGATCTTGGCTCCTTCACCACTGCCCACCCTGCCCCAGGCTGGGGAAAGACCTCTCTGTACTGTCACAAGTGTGTGTCCTCCAGCCACAGCCTTTGCAGGGCAGCTCAGTGCTATCATATGGCTTGCTTCTCTTTTGGAAAGAGGTGTCTTAGACTGGAGCAGAAAAACTCAAGCTCCCACCCCACACCCCACCCCTTGCCTAGGAAAGAGGCCTGTGTGTGACTTGGCTTGAGTTAAACTCAGGCATGGTGAAGAAAACCATTTCTATCTTTCCACACCTACCAGCACATTCTCTTCAACAGCTTACAACCTACAGATAGATATACCTCAGTAAGCATCAGACAGCTTCCATAAAACTTCTAAAATTGCCTCCAACTTGGCCACTTCCACAAATGGGCCTTCCTGAGGCCTATCATTTCCAGCCCTGGGCCTGAGCATTGCCATCTCCAGTGAAGCAGTATGTGATGGCCACAAGCCTGGGTCTATAGTTTGGGAGCATACTGGAGGCTTGAAGCCAAGATCTAAGCGGGTTTCTCAAGGAGCAGAAGAACCTGCCGCCAGGAAGCTGTGGGTGGAGCCGTCTGGACCAGTCTGTTGTGGAATGAGCTCCCTGCTCCTCAGGAGTTTGGCCTCCTCACAGCACTGATAGCTCAGGACTACACATTACCATGTAGGTGCCACTGTGTTGGGAACAGAGCTCGCCCAGCCTGCCGCCACCCAGGCTGTTGACCCATGCCCAGCCCTAGCAGTGTCCACACATGCACTCACACATGCCCCAGAGGGGTGGATGTGTGCATGTGTGCATGTGCTCGTGTCCTGGCCCATGTGATTACCCATGTGGATGGCAGGAAGCCAGTGGGGATGTGCAGGTACAGGGATGTACAGGTGTGTGTGCACACGTGGATGTGCAGGTACACATGGGCTGAGAATCCATGGATTTCCTGGGAGGAAGGAGTGACTGGGACTTCCCACCACTCCCTGTGTGTGTATGTGCCTATAATGCGTGCCCACATGTACATGAGGGTGGGTGAGGAGTCGGAGTGTGTACACACGTGCGTCTGCTCTCCCTGTCCGTGGGCTATTGGGCTCTGAGCTCAAGGGAGGAGAGCTCCCTCCCTGCCATGTCTCCTCCTCCGCACCACCAGCCCACGCACTCATTCCCAGGGTTAGGGATGACTATCTAGCTCTGAGTGAGCACTGGGACTGGCTGGGGGTGAGAGCCTCCTTGAAGTCAACACCCCTCTTCAAGATGCAGGCTTCTCTGTATCCAGCACTGCCGTGAGGACAGTGCTGATGGCTCTGTAAAGCACTGGGCAGGTGCCAGGGTCATGGGTGCACCTTGTGACCATGGGTGTCCCCTTCTCTGACCAAAGGAGCCCTGAGTCCCCAGTCTTCATTCATAAAACCTTTACTGAAACCCACCTCCCAGAAAGCTGCATGTCCTCGTGAACACAAGGACCCTGTGCAGAAGGCCTGGCTTGGATCTGTCTGGTGGTCATGGGCAGAGGATGGTTGGGCCGGTGTTCCCTCCTCCCCAGAGGCTGTGCCTTGCCCAGCCTCTTCCTCCCCCACCCATCTGATGGGTATCCTCTTGCAGGCGCTCCATGAAATACACATTGTGCAGTGACAACCATGGCATCAAGCCCCCTACACCGGAGCAGTACCTGACCCCACTGCAGCAGAAGGAGGTGTGCATCCGGCACCTGAAGGCCCGGCTCAAGGACACGCAGGACCGACTCCAGGACCGGTAAGCAGCAGTTGGGGTGGCCTGGGGACAGCACCAGCTCCATACTTGGAGGAGCTGGGACCCTGGGGAGGAAGGGATGGCTGGAGCTGCCCACTTCCACCTGCTGTTACCTGTCAGCTAAGACATGTGCTTGTTTGGGTCCTTTTTCCTAGCCCCCAACTCCCCTTGACTGCTGTAGGTAGCTTGGGGCAGGTGGGGAGGGTTCCAGATGAGCGCTTCCTGTTGACTTCCCTTCTGTGGCTGTCCCCTTCAAGCCTGGGTTCCATAGACTCTTTTGGCTGCTTCGTATCCCCTGGTTCCTGTCTTCCCAGGAAGCTGGAGCACAAAATGTCTTTCTGGTGTTTCTGTCCCTGGGGGTGAGAAAGAGTCTTTTAACTCTCCTCTGCCTCCTGGGACAAGAAGGGGATATTAGACTCCCAAGTCAGTTTCTCCTCATCTGCTTCCTGCCTACAGATGATGTAAGCTCAGGGGACTTGTTGCTGAGCTCCTGACCAGACTGGGTCTCCCAGGAGCCCATAGAACCAGCTGTGCTCATTTTCAGAGCCCTGCGGATGCTCAATCCTAACTGTCCCAGCCTCTGTCTTTCCAGCCTGGCAGTGTCGCCCCCTGATTGCCCATCACCTTAACTGCCTTTCTCTGGACTATATCTGTCAATCACCTAGTCTGTCATGAACTGGACAAGGCCCTGTGCAGGGTTCTAGAGCTCAGGACAGACACCACAACCATGTCCTTCTCTCCTCCCCTCTCCTCCCCTCCCCTCCCCTCCCCTTTCCTCTCCTCTCCTTTTTCTTCTCTTCTCTTGTATAGAAGCTTTATAGAGCACTTCGTCCTATGTAATTCATACCATACAATTTGCCTATCTAAAGTACAGTTTGGACGATTTGTAATATAGCCACAGAACTGTAACCATGACCATTACCTACTCCCATAAACTTTTTATCACCCCCACAAAAGGAACCCTATTCCCATTTGCAATCACCCCCCCATTTCTCTCCAACCACCCAGTCACTGGAAATCATTAATCTTTCTGTCTCTACAGTCTGCCCCTCTGAACATTTCGTAATGTAGCATGCATGACCATGTCTTTCTTGACCTTGGATGTGTTGTGGTTTCAGAGTGTAGGTGGTTTTAAGTGGTGTTCCACGGGCCTCAACTCAGAGCTGCAATTTCTATTTCTGCTTCCCAATGATGCCCAGGGTTAGCTTGGTCTTTTGCATCAGAGTCCTCAGGAGGTGGCGCCCGTCTCTTCTCTTTTTCTCAGGCCAGCCCCTTGGCTCCCAGTGACCATCATCCTGCGTGATTTGGCAGGATGCCCTGCCATGGGCTCTCCCTCACCTTACCCACTGCTAACCTTGCTTTGCAGGCCCCTGTGGCAAGTTGTCCTTTCTGTGCTGCCCCACTCCTCATACTCTCTAGGTGTTCCTTCCTGGTGTGTCCTACCTTCTATTCCTCACAGGTGTCATGTGCTTTGACACCTCTGTGCCTCTGGACCCTGTGTCCTCACCACCTGAGGGGCTCTTCCACTATCTCCCTTCCTTGGCAACCTCATCCTTCAAAGTGCAGTTCAAATGAAATGCTCAGTGGTCCACTGAGGCCTAGCCAGTGCTGGGAAGCCATTGCTGGCTGGGGTCCAGCTGGCTGCAAGGAGAAAAGGCCAAGAAGCAGCCAAGCCAAGCATGCCTAGTCCTTCTTCTAAACTCATTTTCTGCCCAGGGCAAAGCATGTGAGGAGTGGGGAGAAAAGCCAAGAAGGCCACCTGGAATGAGCCCTGCCCTCAGGCAAGAGGAAAAACAAGTCATGTGTCCTGCTGTGTCCTCTGTCTTCCAGCTCCCCATGCCTGTTGGTCCTCTGTAATTTCCCCTGATGAGCTATATCCTGTTGCATGCTGGCCCCTTCCAGACCACTGGAAGCCACTGTTGACCCCTGTGGCTGCTGCAGCCCCACAGTCCTAGTCCCTCCAGCATGTCGTATAGTGGGATTCCTGGGGTCAGTTCCTGGGTGGAATTTCTAGTCTGACTTTGAAAAGTCTGTGGGGCCTGGTCTAGCACAATCGCCATTGAGCTTATAACCCCCACCTCCCCACACACACACATGTGAGGGCCAGGCATGTGTGGAGTTTATTCACATGAGTCCAGGATTCAGGGTGAGTGGCTGCACGTGGACCATTGTCACTAAGAAGGTTTGTAGGAAGGATGCCCAGGACAGATTTCAGACTCCTGAGTGATCTTCCTCCTCTCTTTCAACTTGCCATCAGTCTCTGTTCCGTCTCACCCTGGTTTTACCTCCAGACTTGCCCGCATGTTTTTCAGACTCACCTGGATCCATCTGTAACTCAGAGATTTGGAAAAGCCCAAGCATTTCTGGACAACCATCTTCCAGTTGGGTTGTCTTGTGTGTCTGGCAATCCCTTCCCTAAGGAGCAGCTATGTACCTTTCCCCACCACCTTTTCAGCCTCTCCTCTTGATGTAGATGCAAAGAAGAAACTTCTTGTGTGGATGAAAAACAGCCACCTTGTCCTCCTCACCCTCCTCCAACTCATCTACCACTTCTCATCCCTCTGCTTGACGGATGAAGTAAAATCATCTCTCCTCTGCCAACACTCAAGAGGGTCATTTCTCTCTTGGCACCACCCTCTCCTCATGATCTCTGGCCAAATGTGCCTCCATTTAAAACATCCACAACCTGCTTTAGCAGGAGGCCACAACCTCTTCTTTTTTCTTGATAGTACTGGTGGTTGAACTCAGGGACTTGTACTTGTCAGGCAGGCGCTGTACCACTTGAGCCATGCCCCCAGCCCTTTTGCTTTAGTTGTTTTTTGGATCAGATCTCATGGTTTTTGCCCATGGGCAAAAACCCACAGGAGCAAGGCACCACACCCTAGCTGCTTATTGAGGTGGATCTTATCAGCTTTTTGTCTGGGTCAGCCATGGCCATGATCCTCCCAATCTCTGCCTCCCAAGTAGCTGGGATTATAGGTATGAACCACCACAACTGGCCAGCCACATCCCTTTCTAGAAATTTTAGGTCTAGTTTCTGTTTTACATGAAGATTTCATTGTTTTTTTGTTTTGTTTTGTTTGCAGTACTGGGGCCTGCAAACTCAGGGCCTTCACCTTGACCCACTCCACCAGCCCTATTTTTGTGAAGGGTTTTTTCAAGATAGGGTCTAACGAACTGTTTGCCCAGGCTGGCTTCGAACCATGATCCTCCTGATCTCTGCCTCCTGAGTAGCTAGGATTACAAGCATGGGCCACCAGCACTTGGCTTCATTGGGTTTTTAATAGCAGTGGCACATCTTTGTTTAGTCTCTCCTCTAGATGATCAGTGTAAACTATGACCATGACCGGAGTCATCTGTGGGTTGGCCCTAAAGGGTGGGAACTGACATTTCTTCTCCCTCCCAGTAGGAGGCTTTTCTTGTTTTGTCCCTGGCCCCTGGGCCCCCACAGCCACTCTTACCACTCCCTGTGGAACAAGGACAAGAGGCAACAGTCCTCCTTTCCTTCCCTTTGAGCCATCACAGAACAAGGCCCTCTGTGCTCAATGACATGGCCCCTTCTTGCCTCTCTGAGGTGGCGGTGCAGGCCAGGGGGCAGGCAGTGAGCAAGTGTGTCTCCTCTGCTTGCAGGGACACAGAGATTGATGACCTGAAGACACAGCTGTCACGCATGCAGGAAGACTGGATCGAGGAGGAGTGCCACCGTGTGGAGGCCCAGCTGGCCTTGAAGGAGGCCCGAAAGGAGATCAAGCAGCTCAAGCAGGTCATCGACACAGTCAAGAACAACCTGATTGACAAAGACAAGGGACTGCAGAAGTACTTCGTGGACATCAACATCCAGAACAAGAAGCTGGAGACGCTGCTGCACAGCATGGAGGTGGCCCAGAATGGTGCTGCCAAGGAGGAGGGCACTGGGGAGTCAACTGGTGGCTCCCCTGCTCGTTCCCTCACCCGCAGCTCCACCTACACCAAGCTGAGCGACCCAGCTGTTTGTGGTGACCACCAGCCTGACGATCCCCACAGCGCCTCTGCTGAGGATGGAGCTGACAGTGGCTTTGTGGCTGCTGATGACACACTGAGCCGGACGGATGTCCTGGAGGCCAGCAGTCTGCTGTCATCCGGGGTGGACTGCGGCCTGGAAGAAGCCTCGCAGCAGAGCTCCTTCAACCTGGGCCCCCGCTTCCCTGCCAGCAACACCTACGAGAAGCTGCTGTGTGGCATGGAGGCTGGCGTGCAGGCCAGCTGCATGCAGGAACGGGCCATCCAGACAGACTTTGTGCAGTACCAGCCTGAGCTGGACACCATCCTAGAGAAAGTGAGCCAGGCCCAGGTGTGTGGGACAGTCCCTGAGGACTGGCACCCAAGACCAGATCCCCAACCCCCAGGGCCCAGAGACTCTAACTCAGCAGTGGTGGTGACAGTGGGTGACGATCTTGAGGCCCCGGAGCCTATCACCCATGGGCCTACCGCACACCAGCCTGGAGCCAACCCCAGCCCTGGGCTATCGGTGAGCGTGGTGTGCCCTGTGGAAGACGAGGAGGAGGCCGCCACAGCCTCAGCTGAAAAGGAGCCCAAGAGCTACTGGAGCCGCCACTACATCGTGGATCTGCTGGCTGTGGTTGTGCCAGCCGTGCCCACGGTGGCCTGGCTCTGCCGCTCCCAGCGGCGACAGGGCCAGCCCATTTACAACATCAGCTCCCTGCTGCGGGGCTGCTGCACCGTGGCCTTGCACTCCATCCGCAGGATCAGCTGCCGCTCACTGAGCCAGCCCAGCCCCAGCTCGGCAGGTGGCTCCCAGCTCTGAGGAGGCCTGTCCAGGGAAGTGCTCCGCTCCAGCAGCCTGACCACTGATTGTAGGGATGTCATTTGTTCTCCGCCTCGCATATCCCCATGGGCATCATATTTATTTAGTTTTGGGTTTGGAACCATTTTCCCCAGGATGTTAACAGTGTCAGGGGCTGGGAGTAGAGACTGAGGAAGTCATCCCACAACTTTAAGAGTGAGAAAGTAGGGAGTCATACTGATTGGATGCACTGCAGAGAGAAAAGCTGGTGAGGGCCCCCAGCCTGGCCCCTCTGTCCACCCAGTCCTTCAGGTAGGATGGGCCCTGCTCCAGGAGTCTCTGGCTGCATTTATTTATCTGGGAACCCTCTGCTCCCTGCACTGTCCTGCCTCCTCCATGCCTTCTTTCCCAAGCCACCCCTTGCCCTCTGCCCAGATTATCTTCTCAGATGGAGGCAGCTGTGGCCTGAAGTGTAGAATAGGGTCTAGAACCCCTAGGCCTGAGCTGGAGCTCCAGCACCCCTGGCCTGTTCCCCACTTGGGATGCAGAAGCTCAATTGAGGCCATGGGCTAGAGGAAAGATGTTGGTGCAGGAGGGGCAGAAGGGAGAGTGGTTTCTGTGCTTGTCGGTCCTTCTCATCCCTCTCTACAATCTTGGCTTCTGGGTGTATCAGCTCAGTCTTCCTGTGAGTATGGATCCAGAGAAACTCTGTGCCCCAGCCCCAGCCACCATCGGGGGAGCTCACTAGCACAGAGGAGGCAGGGCAGGGAGTTCCAGGAGCCCTCACCTTCTGAGATGAGGCTCTTACCTGCAGGCTGGAAGGCACGCTGGACTCAGGAACCTTTGGCTGTTATCTGTGGTGAGGAAGCCAGAGTCCATGACTGTCTCTGGGGCTTGCCTGAGTCCCTCTGGCCTGATTTCTGCTTTGCACTATATTCACTTTGGGACTCAGTTCCCACCTATCCCAAGACCTACAATGGGGTGGCTGCTTGCTTTCTGGGATGAGCGTTCCTAAATCTTCAATGTGTTTGCCTCTGAGGAGAGCAGGGACTCTGTCAGGATGAATCTCCAGGTTGGGTACTGAAGCCATGATGTCATTCAGGCCAAAGCAGGGAGCCTGGGGTGTGCTTCCTGGACAGGGCTGTGGCAGGGTGGGCAGGAGCCCTGTGGCCTCTATTCCTAGCCCAAGCCATCAGCCTGGGAAGGTTCATTGTCCCTTCTTTCCCTGGGATCACTTTTGAGTCCCAGCAGAACTGCTGATGTTTTAGTCCCACTGTTAGTCTACCAAGTAAATTCCCTCCTCTTCCCCCCACCCCCCGAGATCACACCCATCTGGTCATCACACCCATCTGGTCATCCTACCTACTCGTCAGGGGTTAGGCGCCACATTTGGGGAGTTGGTAGACCTTGAGTCTCACTCACCCTCCTGGCCTCAGGGCCACTCTGGTTCTCTGCTGCCCCGATGGCCACTGCCCTTCCACACTGTGCTCTCACAGAGGGGGAACCTGCATGCACTGGAAGTGGGCAGCCAGCCCAACCATCAGGGTGAGAGCCCCTCTGCCATGCGCTTTGTGCCTCCAAAGCTCCCTCACCTCAGCCAGGGCCTCAGGCCAGCCATCCATTGGGGAACACCCCCAGCCACAGCTGAACCAAACCTGAATACCTGGGGCCTAGCTGGAGCTGCCCCATAGGACACTGGGGTAGTGCCACGGAGGGGCAGTGGACAAAACTAATCCAAAGCCAAACCAGGACTGGCCACGGATCCAGCCTTCTGTGCCGTGTACTCACGGAGCTGCGTAGCGTCTCCTTAGAAACAGTCGTCAAAGCTTTGCTGAGAAAATAAACGTATGAACTATATTTGACAACAGGAAAAAATATCTATATATTTTTCACCACTGGAGTTTAGTCCAGCTTTGCAGCCCCTCTGCTCCTGTCCACGTCTTGCTGTCTGTGGCCTTCCTATTGTGTTTTGTGTTTTGGTGAACGTGAGCAGGGCTGGGCTATAGTCCACAATGTCCCTGCTATGGGAGGAGCCATGGTAAAGGGCTGGGCTGTGGGTGGCCCAACACCTGCGGACAAGGTGAGTGGGGCTGATGGCCACCCTCTGCCCCTTCTGTAGCCTGAGACCTACCTGTGTGGTCACCAGGAAACCTAGCCCATTGTACTGAGGGGCCTGACTTTTGTGGGTTCTGGTGAGGCCTTTGGTGGGCTTTCTTCTTGCCAGTGAAGGAAGAGGCTCACTGCCCAGCGTTGGGACAGATTCTGGGGCCCCGCAGGCCGGTGGTCCTGGCCTGGCTCCTGAGTATGTGTGTGTGTCTGTGTGCGTGTCCATGTGTGTCTGTGTGCTCAGTGTCCTGCATCTATGCAAAGGGACAGCACTGCCCATGTGGCTCCTGGAGGTAGGTGTGCAGCAGCCTGCTGACTCGGGCTCCCAGGCCTGACAAGTCAGGGTATAGAGCCGGGGACTGGGTAAGGCTGGGGCCAGGGGCCAAGCCATCCCCTGAAGCTCCCTTTCCCTTCTGCTCAATGCCTCCCCCTGTTGAGCTGTGGCCCTTCCCTCCTGCCTCAGCTTCTGGAGCAGAAATCTTTGGGGCTCCCCTCTCCCCAGTCTCCAGCCCAAGCTGATAAAATCCTGAGCAACAGTGTCCCAGGAACCACTGTTTCTTAGATCTGGGGCCAGGGCCAGAGCAGCCCTGCTGCCCTCTGATCCAGGTTCAGGCAGGACTTGGGAGCAGGACTTCTGCAATGAGCCTGCCCTGAGCAGAGTTTATGACCCATATCTCTCAAGGGGGTAACTTAGCTTTTCACTGAAACACCTTCCCAGTCGCCACTAGCACAGGGGCATCTGACAGCACTTGGGGGTGGGGTGGGGGGCAAATTACACTCTAGGGCAAAGGCCTCCTGAGGGGCCTCTGCCCCAGGAACTCACAACTCCCTCTCTGACCTAGGGACAATGCAAACAGGTCACAGTGCACTCATTTTAGGCCATCCTCGTGACAAGAGAATTCAGGGGATGTGGGAAGGGGGGAGGTGGGGAGGGATTTTGACTCTGGTCTCCTTTGTCCTTTCGTTCAGACAGAGTTGTATCTACAGCAGACAGCTCTGAATTAAAGCATGAACACAAGTGAGCCTCCTGCCTGGTCTCTTTCTACTGTGTCAGTTTCTAAGTTGCAGGGGAGAAGTGTGTGTGTGGGCGGCGGAGTTATTTCATCCATGCCCAGCACAGAGGAAAGCAGAAAGCAGCATGCTAGGTCAGCCCCTCCAGATCTTGCTACATGGGGCTGGGAAACCACAGGCTGTAGAACTCTTGCTGCCCTCTGGTGTCAGATCCTGCAGGGCACTGTCAGGACACTGCAGTTCTTCCTCCCCAGCAGCCCCCATACTAGTTTCTTATGCCCACTGCAACCATGGTCACACCATGGCACTGGAGGGGGTCCGTCTACCCATCCTGCTGCCTCACAGCCCCCAGTACCAGTCATCCCTGCACCAGACTGGCAGGGAACACATGACATGTGATGGAGGCACAGCCAAACCACCGCTGTCAGAGGCAGTACATAATAGAAAAGGTTTGGCCTCGTCACGATTTATAAGAAAAGCCCCAGCATGACATGGGACCCGAATTCTGGAATTTCCAATTACTTTTGAGAACAAGATTGTGTTTAAACCAAATCTTTATTCAAAAGACAGTAAAGGATTCTAACTATACAATCTATATACAGTCTGTGACAAAGAGCAGTAAAGGCAAAGAAAATATTCTCACTAAGAACACAGTTCTGTTCTCCCAAATCCTGTAGCTGTTCCCGGTAGCAGCAACATCTTGAAAGGGACCCAGCCCCAAGTCTGAGAAGTGTTTGCCCTGTCTGCATGCCCAGCATTTAAGCCCAGAGAATGTGCTGCCTGGGGGCCCTGCCTGTGCCTCCGCCCAACTAGGACACTGAGACTCCAAGGAAGCCTGTGTGCAGAAGTGACAGACTCACGCCATTCAAAGTCCACCCACCTGGAACACCCCCTTTCAAGACCCTGACCCCAGGCAGCAGCCCAGCTGCAACCTGTCATCTGAAGATGGCTATTCTTCCCTGCAGGGAGGTGGGAGGCCCAAGTTGCCCTCCTGTGGCTTCAGACATCTGGGATAGAGTGGTCCATGGTGTGATGGAGCAACCTTGGGGACAACCTAGACACAGAAACAGTGACAAGGGCTGAAAGTGCAGCCCCTTCTCCCCGCCCTCACAGAGTCTGTGCACCCCAGGGGTGCCATCATCTCATACCCCACTTCTAAGGCTTTCAAGTCACCAGAAGCTACCAGCCACCTTGGAGGGAGGGGATAATGGGGAGGGCAGGACTGCACCCAGGGTCAGCACCAGGAGGCCAGGGCAGGGGAGGGGTGCAGCCTTAGACCTTACTTTTTGACCATGTGCTCATAGATCACGGTGGGAATGATGGTCAGGGTGACAGCATTTCCAGCTGTGGCCAGAATCTCGGTGATCTTTTTGTCCTGGAGGAGAAGTGAGTGAGTAGTCAACCTGGAGGCCAGAGGCCCCTCTGTGTATATGTGTGTGTTGGGGGGGGTGGTAGTGGTCAGCATGGCTGTTGCCAAAGGACACTACTGATACCAGCCTGCAGAAGTTGGGCCGCCTGGGACCCTGGGGCAGTCAGGAGAGGGTCACACGGGGTCTTGCTGCAACAAGAACATGGGTTTCCCACCTGAGGATCTCCAGTGTCCCAAGAGAACGCCACCCCCCACCTTCCCCTTTCAGGCTAGCTGTGTGGGCCTGACCCATAGCACAGCCTCACAAATGTGATTCTCCTCCTGCCTCCAATGGCCTACATTTCCCTATCTCCTATCTCCTTGACAAGGAGATAGTGTTTGACTGCCCTGTGTTTGACAGCCACAGTTGGGTTCCGGCCCAACTTACAAAGAATGTGTCCAGTGGGACACTCTAGGCCCACCTGAGCTGACCACATGGGTCTTCTTCCTCTCCCACCTTGTTGACTGGACAAAAGAGGAAGCGTGCAGAAGTCATTTAGATTGTGGGGAGAATGAACTAAAAGTCTGCAAGTGCCAGCGGTCCAAAACACCGCAGCTGTGGCCAGAAGAGCCTCTGCCAGTATTCAGGGCCTAGTGACCTTTTCTTAACACACAGAAGTAATCAGGTTATGTGTTTTCTTAGTTGTTCTAGACTAAATGGGAGATGTGTCACAAGAGTGCCACTAGCAATGGCCACAGGATAGAAGTAAGTAAACTTGGAAAAGGTAAATGCTTTTAATAATCATCTGAGCCACACAGTAGAGGGACAAACCTTGTCTCTAAGAGCCTCATGGGGCCATGGCTTGGTAGGGGTCCTGATGATGTCTTGAGTCACCCATGCAGATGAGAGACTCACATCTTAGCATGATGGTTCTCCAGAACAGTTAAGATCTAGGAGCGATAATGCCTTCAAAGGAGTCAATTTGCTAATAATCTGAACCTGACTGCTCTCAACTGGTATTGCTACACTCAACTATTTTAGTAGAATGAGTTTCTTTTGGATTGCTGGTACTTGAGCCAGGATAAAGGGGCAAGGAGACATTAGGAGGCATCATCATAGTCAGATATTATGGAAGAACTTCCTGACCACAATGGTCACCAGAACAAGCCTCCTAAGATTGTGAGAGAGACAGAATCATGTGACAGGAATGGCTTGTGCCAGCTGCCAAGTGAGATGCAACCTCTCTGCTGGGACAGCCCTGCCCCATGATCACAGAAGCTCTGTCACAGGAGAGAGACTCACTGTGCATGACAACTGGGATTGAGAACCACTCTTGGCACAAGTGGCATCGAGTCAGGATAAAGCCCCTTTCACTTGTTCAATACCAAAACCACATGACTTGTTGTCTGTCCATGGTCCAATCCTGGAAGACACCTTCCTCATTCCATGTCTATGGCACTAGACCACTTACATCTTCCTGGTTTTGTAAGGATAAAACTCATAGGCTTAGGGCGTGGCTGACATGGTTGAATGCTTGTCTAGCATTTGCGAGGCCCTGGATTCAATCCCTAGTGCCACAAGAAACCAAACCAACCAAACAAAAAATAACCTGACCACGCCCTTTGAAAACTAAACAAGGTCAGAAATGGACTTCTGAATAATGATTTTTCTAAAAGAAACTATTACGAAATGTGATCAGCATGCAAACAGAAGTACCGCGCAGTCAGGAGGCAATCCATGTAGCCAGTAGCCACCTTCTGGGTGCCTGAGTCCTCATGCATGCTGACACCTTCTGTGAGTTAGTAACAGCAGCTGATACTTACTGAGCACTCACTATATACCTGGCACTGCTTGGCGCTCTAGGCACATGGTCTTATTAAAGCTTACAGTACTTTTGAGGTAGAGAGGATGCAGCTCAAGCAGGGGCCACAGCCTGTGCAGACAGGAGCCGTCCCACCCCAGCTGCCTCCCTAGTGCCCACAGCTCCTGGAAGAACATGGCCACCACCTACCTTCAGCCCGATGATGTTTTGCCCATTCACCTCGCACACATAGTGGTTGGTGAGGAGCCCGTTGCGGGCAGCAGAGCTTCCCTTGACCACAGACACAATCTTCCCCTTCTTGATGACAAAACCAACTTGGCCCAAGCTGTCCTTATGCATGGTGACACTCCGCTGGAATGGCCTGGTGGAGAAGAAAAGTGAGCTGGGCCTGGGGGTGTGGCTGGAGCCTAGCAGAGAGGATCCTGGGACCTGGCTACTCACCTGTCCCGAACAACCATGACAATCCTCTCTGCTGATGCCTTCTTCACCACTCTGTGGGCTTTGTGTGCACTCCACCCGGCACAGTCTTGCCCATCAATCTGCAGGATCTGGTCCCCAAAGCGCAGCCCCACAAGGGATGCAGGGGTGTTGGCCTGGACCAGCTGCACAAAGAGCCCCTGTGGGAGGCAGGACCAAATTGTCAGAATCCCTGGCTGGTGAGCCCAGATCCCTCCTCCAAGCTGATCCTCCTGGAGTCCACGGGGTAGGCTTGCTGTGCAAGGCGGGTACGATGGGTATGTGCTCTCTGCCCCCTATGTTCCTGGGGAGGAAACACACCAGGCCACTCAAGTAGAATAAGCTGAGTCAGGATTTTAGCCCTTGCCAGAGGTGGCTCCCAACCACTCTACTATCCTGCCTCTCCCAAAGGCACCTGTCTTTCTTGACTGCTATTGCCTACAGTCACCCCAAAGCCAGATCCTTGGAAATTGGGGTACAGGAAATGGGAAGCTCTGGCCACAGGAGCCCAAGAGTGGTAGATGGAGGGTGGTTACTGCAACCAGGCACAGTCTGGAGCTCAGTGTTAGGATGCCCACCCTGCGCCTTCCTTACTGTGGACAAAGGCTCTCTCAGGGCCCATGGTGGGGAGGCCCCTTGTGCACTGCCCCATCTTGGGCAGGTGGGCAACTATGGCCCAAAGCCACAGCACATGTGCATCCCCAGAGCGCTGTCCAGCCCCAGAGAGGTGCGTTTTCCTCCTAGGCACTCATCTCCTGCCACCACCTACCTTGTCGATGGCCCGCAGCTGCAGCCCAGTCTTGCCTCGCTCATCCTTGCACAAGTGGATCTCACGCACCCCAGGCTTGATCTCGGCACGACGTATGCCCAGGTTGTTCCCAGACACTGGAGCCACCACCTGGCTGGGCCAGGGGCAGGAGACCGCTATCTGCAGACACCAGAGGAGCATATCAACCAGAGGCCTGGGGTCCTATGCCTCAGGGATCCCTGAGGTTGGGGTAGGAATGGGCAAAGGAGGATGGAGCAGTCCCTGAGTTCCTTCCACCCCCTCCCCCACCTCCCACCCCAGACAACACAGTTCTTAGCAGGGACTGAAAGTGGACGTGGCTTTATGAAACCACTAGAGGGCATCAAAGTTCATACCCCTAAAAATGGGGAGGAAAAAATCAAGCTGGGACCCTCATTTTCCAAGGGAAATTAATATCAAGAACAGGTCCCTTTAAAACCCACTTAAAATAGAAATAAGTTTTATAGTAAATAGTAAGCAATAGGGGATAAGAGAGCTAGGCTTGATCCAATTTTTGTCTTGAAAGAATTTAATCCATAAGTATAAAAATTAATGGATGCTTCTTCCTAAGATGCAGAACAAGGCAAGGATATCCATTCTCACCATAATACTAGGAAAGTTAGCCAGTGCAATGGGTCAAGAAAACAAAAAAAAATTCATACAGACCAGAAAAGAAGAAATAAGCTGTTCCTATTCATTGATGACAGGATGGTCTACTAGAAAATCCCAAGGGATCTACAAATAAATTCCTAGGTCTAATAAATGAATTCAGCAAAATTATGGGATACAAGGTCAACACACAAAAATCAATTATGCTGATCACGGTGGTGCATTCCTGTAGTCCTAGCTGCTAGGGAGACTGAGGCAGGAGGATTGCCTTGAGCCCAGGAGTTAAAGACCACCTGGGCAACATAGCAAGACTCCATTTGAAAAATCAATTGTATTTCTATATACTAACAAAGAACAAGCAGATGCTGAAATAAAAAATACAATACTACTTATAATCATTTTTTAAAAAGGAGATACTTAGGTACATACCTAACAAAACATATACAAAAACTGTATATGTTTTTGCCAAAATGACAAAACACATAAACATCAATGAAGATCTAAATAAACAGGAAATCTTCTGCAGCCATGGATTGAAAGAACCAGTAAAGGTGTCAACATTCCTCAAATTGATGTACAAGCCAGGCAAGGTGGTACACAGCTACAAACTTGGCACTAGGGAGGCTGAGGTAGGAGGATCATGAGTTTGAATCTATATAGCAAGACACTGTCACAAAAAAAAATGAAACTAAAACTGATGTACAAACATAACACAATTTCTAACAAAATCTCTACAAGTTGTTTTGTAGATACAGACATGACTAATCTAAACTTTACATGGAAAGACAATAAAACTATTCTAGGAATGGGAGGAGAGGGGATAAAGGAGAATGGTGGAGGGGGTGAATTCAAGTATGATATATTTGATATATTGTAAGAACTTTTGTAAATGCCATCACCAGCACAACAATAAAAACTGACAATAGAATTAGTATAACTAAAACAATTCAAAAAGAAAGAATAAAATGAGAAGAATCACTATGGCAAATTGCAAGACTTCTCCTATACTTACAATAACCAAGATAGTGTGGTACTGGACACAGGGTTGACAGAATGGAATAGAAAGCTTGGAAATAGCTACACACAACAGGAACAACTGTTTAGTGACTTACCAAAGAAAAAATGATAAGTTGGGCTTCACTGAAATAAAAATCTTATGGCTGGAGGCATGGCTCAAGTGGTACAGTACCTGCCTACCAAGCGTGAGGCCCTGAGTTCAAACCCCTAAGAAATAAACAAATTTTTCTCTGCAAAAGACTCTTTAGAGGTGGAAAGATAAGTTGAAGACTGGGAGAACATATTTACAAACCACACATCTGAAAAAGCACTTTAGAATAGGTAATGCAGCCCCAAAACTTGACTTTAAAAATCCAGTTAGGATGCATGAAAAGATGTCCGCCATCACTAGTCATTAGGAAAATCAAAATGAAACCCAGGGTGAGCATCTCTACACCCTTCATGATGGCTACAATGAACACACGCGCAGGTGGTGCACTCATGCACTGCTGATAGGAAAGTAACATGACCCGGTCCCTCTAGAAAACAGTCTGGCAACTTCCTAAAAAATTCAACAAAGCTACATGGGAGGCTGAGATTGGGAGGATTATAGTTCCAGGCCAGCCTGGGCAAAAAAAATTGGGGAAACTTCATCTTAATGGAAAACAGCTGGATGTGCCTGTCATCCAAGCTACAGCAGGAAGTGTAAAATAGGAGGATCCCAATCCAGGCTGGCCTGGGCAAAAGGTGAGGCCCTATCTCCAAAATAACAGAGCAAAGAGGGCTGGGATAAGGCTCAAACAGTAGAGAGCCAGCCTAGCAAGTGTGAAGCCCTGAGTTTAAATCCCAGTAACACCAAAAATAAAAAAAAATCAACATACATTTATCATATGAATTAGCAATTGCACTCTGGACATTCATGCAAAAAAAAAAAGGAAACTTAAGTCCATACAAAAACCTATATACAAACAGCATTGTTTGTAATCATCCAAAACCAAAAACAACTAAAATGTCCCTCAAGGGGTTAAACACGTGTGTGTCACCTCTCAGCAGTAAAAAGGAACAAATTATATATCACCCCAACTTGGACGGACCTCGAGGGGCATGACTTAGTGAAAACACCAACCTCAAAGTCACACACTGTATGATCCTGCTTCTGTAACTGTCTGAAATGATAAAATTATACAGACAGGAAACAGGGTTGCCAGTGGTCCGGCAGGTGTGGAAGGGAATGGGTGTGATTACAAATGGGGCCACCAGAAAAGACTTTTGTGGGATGGACTGCAGTGTTGGTTACATGGATCTAAATACGTGATAAACTGACCCAGAAGTACAGACACACTGCCCCAGTGTAAAGCTCCTGGTTTTGATATTGTCCTCTGATACTAGTATATTTGCGACTTCCTGTGAGCCTATTATTACTTAAAAATAAAAAAGTTAAAAACAATGAAAAAACTAAAATTATAAAAATCCACCTGTCATAACTTGGGTTGAATCTATTCAGGTGCTAAGCAGTGGAATGAAGACCAACTGGGTCGAGCTGTGTCGAACACACCCTTATTTCTTCATGGCTGCATTTCACAGCTTGATCACCACAGGAGTCATTGTGCAGAAACTCCCCAGAGTGCCACACTTTTTCTCAAGGTCCTCATGTCCTCGATCTTATGGACTTTCTCCTGTCAGATCTCATTTGTCAATGGCTTTGTATATGATCATGGCAGTTCTCTGTGGTCACATCCACCAATTTCACAAAACCCTGCAGCCTCACCAAGATTTGTCGTTGAGCTCTGCAGTCGATTCCTTTGGCTCAGGAAGGGGCTGGCAGAGGAGACACTGACAGATGGCCCCCAGAGATTCCAGAGCTGATGGGAAGGGATTTTGAGTTTGTACCAAATCTGTACATGAATGAGTTTTCAGTAGTGAAGGCCACCATGTCATGGTCTCTTTTGCTATCTGAAGCCAGGAAAACCAGGAACCAAGCATTATTGTTTAACTTGGGGACCAGAGCTGGGTGACAAGTTCCTGATACTGCTTCTAAGGCACATGCACGCTGCCTCATCCAGCTGGGTCAGGCCAGCAGCCTTAAGTCATAGCTCAAAGAGCAGGGAAGACATGACACCATGAAATCCCAACACATTTTTCCTGAAGACTCAAAATGAAAAGTGCCACCAAGAAACAGAGCCACAAATAAGAACACCAGCAAAGAGGAGATTCAAACAGAGAAAAAAGAGGAAGTCTAAATGGTAAAATGAAGAGGGAAGCAGGTTCGGACATGGCCGCCCACATTAGGCTGTAAACAAATACCTACACTGTCACCCTCTGGAATCTGAAGCAGGTTCTCCTGGACTGCTTGACTGGAGAGGGAAAGACCCATGTAGCTCTCCAGTTCTGCCAGGTTTGGGTACAAGACTGGTGGGGAAGAAGAAGAAAGGTATTACTCAAGGCCCCGTGTTTAGCTACCCTGCCTGGCCTCCAGGTGGCTGCTCTGGTCAGTAAGAAGTGGAGCTTGGGCAGCTGTTCGTTCTCGAGAATGCCATGGTTCCCATGGCACGCTGTGTCTCTCCAGGAGCTCTCGGTAGGATGCGGCTCATCTCTGCACAAGGTTTGAGATGCGGGCTCTGCCTTTGTCCAGAAGCAGCTGGGACAGCAAGTACCTCATGTATCACTGGGGTATTAAACTCAACTGACTTTGTACCAGCTCACACAGAGCCAGCATAGGTATGGGACAGGCAGGCCCCTGGGAGACAGCAACACATTGGGGATAGGAAGAGGGGGCCTGAGTTCAAGCTTCAATCTCAGACTATTCCAGACTGCCACAAGCACTCTAGAGGGCACCACAAACATCCTGATCTCCCCACGTGGACAGGTAGACCAAAATCAGGTAGTTACTGCCTCACTAAGCCACTTTTCCCAGCATCCCCTTAAAGAGTTCTGGTGAGAGTGAAGTGTGCATAGAGCCTACCACAAGGGTGGGTGAGGGGAGAGCACTGGGAAGTAGCCAGAAGAGGCAAGGCCACATCCTCTGGCCCTGGTGAGGGGGGCATCTCCAGTCCTACAAGAAAGCCTCCAAGTCCTTTCCAGTGCTGGAGCCCCACAGTAGTGCTCGAGCTGGGGATGGGTTGTCATGGTGCGAACACCTCACTCACCTGAAGGTGGGGAGGGAGCTGCCTCCTGGGCCGGCAAGGCAGGCATCCTGGGCAAAGTTCTAGCCTGGGCCTGGGAAGAGGCAGGGAGTGTGGGTCAGCTGCAGCTGGAACCCCAGGAAGTCTCGGAGCTGGGGCTTCCTGATCCAGAGGACTCGGCATTGGATATGTCAGTGGATACTAAGGTGGGGGCTGTCCAGGAACCCTCAAGGTTTCAGGTCATTTGTAAAAGTGGACTCTAAATTATGCTAAGTGAAATAAGTCAGGCATGGGAAGACAAATGCCACATGTTCACATATGCAAAAAGTTGATCTCAAAGTAGAGAACAAGGGAGAGGGGGGGACAAGAACATGTAATAGAGGGGATGAATATGATCAAAGTATATGTTGTCCCCAGTACAGAGAGAGAGAGAGAGAGAGAAAGAGAGAGAGAAAGAAAGACAGAGATAAAGAAAGAAAAAGAATTTTAAAAAAGAAGAAGAGAACAGAACAGCCTTGGGGGAGTCAGGATGGGTTTTGGGTACAGGGTGCTCTGGATAGGAGAAATAACTTCTAATGTTCTATTGCACAGTAGGACTCTAGTTGACAATAAAAAATTGAATATTTCCAAATAGCTAATTGTGAGGATTTTAAGTGTTCCCAACACAAAGAAATGATAACTGTCTGGGGTGGTGGGTATGCCAGTACCCTCATCTGATCATTACACATTGTCTTCATGTATTGAAATGCCACACTGTACCCCGTGAGTGCATAGTTACTATGTGTCCATTAAACTTTTATATGAATATATTTAAATGTGGCCTCTGCGGACATGCATCTTTCTGGGAGGAGGTTCTCCTGGAGCCCATGACCACCCATTTGTTGTCTGTGGCAGCCAGGGCCACCTCCCAACCAAGTTCTCAATGGGGAACACCCAAATTCTCAATGCCCTCTGGGACCATAGGGCAGTGGGATGAGGATAGGGGAAACTTCTAGAAGTTGAGCAGGTCAAGGCCCACACCCACTGGGTTTCTTATGGAAGTGGGCCCTGTGCACAGGGTCTACCTGCAGAAAATAAGGAAAGCGCTGGCACAGAGCCAAGCATGACAGGCATGTCTGTGGATGCTTGGTCTTTCCTCTCCCATGACTCCATGGGCCCTGACTTCTGGATACCTCCTCTGCCCAGAAGACCCTGCATGTCCTGGGGCCTCTCAAGAATGCCCAAGGTTCCCCGATTCCCAGCACCCGCCAGGGCGATCCTCCCTTCGTTAGTCTGGGGTAATCCTCCAGGCCACCCTCAGGAGGCCCAGGCTAGCTTACCTGGATGACTTGGTCTACCTTCAGATCCTCCAAAGATGGGTACAGGGCAGACATGTTGGCTCCTTGGAACACCCTGCAGAACACAGGTGAGGAGGGATGAGGATGCAGCTCCTAGCCTCCTGAGAGGGGCATGGACATCTACCTCCTGCCAGGTGTGCCCCTAGCACAGATGTGAGAAGGGTACTGGGAGGGGTTACTCTCCCCACTTTAGACACGGGAACTGGAATCTGAGCCAGTCTGTTTGGTTCCCATGCTCAGACTCTCCACCCACAAAATTCCATTCTACCATGGTTGACAGAATCTGGGCTTTAGAATTCAGGTCCAGGATACCACTCAGGACACAATGGCCAGGAAAGGCAGGATCATAGGCCACAATCTCCCCTGCCATGTGGCAAAAGCCAGACAGACTAATGAGGTCAGCTCATACAAGACCTAAATCCAATGCGGCAGGTGTATATTGAGGACCTGCTGCGTACTACTGCATCACCCCATAACCACAAAGGCAGTAGGACACCAGAATCCTCCCACCTCCACCTTCCACCCACCTCTAGAAATTTGAGCTCCACTGTATATTACCCATTTTCTGTCTACCTGGCAACTCTTGATCTTGGCTAAAATGAGGTTACAACTCATGGAAATCTGTTAAATCATGCACACAGCGTCTGGGACATAGGTAGTGGTAGGCCACTTGCCTCGCATGCTGGAGGCCCTGGGTTCAATCCCCAGCACTGCACTAGCCTCCCGCCCCCATCCTGGGGCAGAATTTAAACATTCAACAGAGTGTTGCTCCAGAGAAAGGAGGGACTGTGGGTAGGGGGGGCACTGCAAACACTAATATTTTCAAATTGTCCCAGGGGAGAATTGGTAGAGCCTCTGAGCAAGGTGCCCAGAGAAGTTCAAATTGTAACCTCCTGAGAAACATGTTCTTTCCTTCCTAGATGGCACATGGGAAGGAGCATTCCTTCTTCTAGCTTCTTTCTCTTTACCCACTAGCCAGACCCTGGCTCTGTCACACCTCCTGCACCCTGCTGGGGCAGTCCATTGCAGCTGGATGCCCTCACCCTGCCTCCTAGTCACCCTCAGCTGCTAAACAGGCCTCCCATGCAGACAGGCCAGTACACCATCACCCTGAGGCCCCAGGACAGGCTCTGGGCCAGCCTCCTGCCCTGCACTCTTCAACTGTCTTCCTAGTTGGCTGAAGTTACTTGGGGTTAAGGCAGATCCTAGTTGCCCAACTTTTATAGGTGCATGGGATAGAGGAACGCCTGGTGGTAGCACAGAGAGTCTAGTAGTCTGCACCAGGGTGACAGAAGTCTAGCACCCCCAGGACCAGCTCTGCTGGGAATCTCCCTAGGTGACCCATAGGCACAAGGACATTCTCACACATCACTGTCCCTCCCCACTCTGCCCCTGCTGCCCTAGCCTGTGTCCTACTCTCACCCACCCCACCATGCCTCTGACCTGTCATCAAATCTCTCTCTCTCATATCCTGGTAGCAGACCTCCTTCACCTCCCTGTCCATCCCAGTGCCACAACATCCCCCAGGTGACCACTTCCCCTCCTGCTGCTTTTCAGAAGGCAGCTACCAAACCCTTTCAGCCAGGATGTTGTGTCTATGCTCAGAGGCCCTCGGTGGCTCCCCACTACCCTCGGAATCTAGCCTACATTTCCCAAAATGGCTCACAAGAACGTCCTGATTCTTCTACAGATTAGAACTGGTGGCCCATTGGCCAGATGGAAGCTGATAGTATCTGACCTTACAGAGTACTTAATGTTCAAATTAACGGCCTAAATGTCAAACTCAAGACATTGCATTTAATAATCTAATGTCCCAATACTCCTGAAAAACAGGAAGAGCTGGCAATCCCGAACTGCAAGTGCTACTCAGGTGAGTAGCAGCAGACTCTAGGGGGCCCAGGCCCCACCACTTTTTCAGGGGCACAGGGTGGGGGGATACTGGGAATTGAAGCTAGAGCCTCCAGTTTTGCTAGGTAAGCACTCTAACCCTTGAGCCACCCCCTCCACAGTCCTTTTGGTTCATAGATAGGGACATGCTAACTTTCCTCAAACTTATGATCCTATTGCTTCCACCTCCCCTATAGCTGGGATTACAGGTGTGTACCACCATGCCTAGCTCCTACTGTTCTCTGTTGTTTCCTACACCCAGGCCATGTATTCACTGGAGTCCCAATAGACATTTGTGTGCAACGGCCTGACTCTCCTGCTTCATTTCTTGCCATGTGTCCTTCTCCCAACCCCCACTTTCAGCGCCTGCCATGATGAGCTACTGTCAGATAGGCGAATGAATGTTGTTCTTTCCTGTCTTTGGGCCTTTGCAAGTGTTAGTCCCTCTGTCTGAAATAGCACTCCTTGCCTAACTTGTAGTAATTTTCAACTCTCAGACCAGGGGACCCTTCTTGCAGGAAGCCTGCTTTGATTTGTACTCCTTGTAGCCTTCGCCACATGTTCTTACTTCTGTTGATTATTTGCTACTCCTATGGCTTTTGGGAGTCCCAAAAGGGCTGGAACTTGGCCTTCTTATTCACTCTAGAACTGCTAGCCCCTAGCAGTAAGGCGGTAACATCAGCAGAGGCAGTACATCTGGACTGGGCTTCCTCCTTCTTCTTGTAAAGCAAACCTCTGGTATCTGAACACCACCCACCTTCCTAGGATGAAACCAAGGGCCATAGATCCAAATATGCTTCTTTTGTCTCTCACAGTCTTGTTTTGTTCCTCAAATATGGGGTGTTTTTGCTTTTTGTGGTACTGGGGTTTGAACTCAGGGCCTCCTACTTGCTAGGTGGATGCTCTACCACTTGAGCCTTGCTTCCAGCCCTTATTCTTTTATGTTTGAATTGGTGCCAACATTAAAAAATATAAATTATAAAATTTTTCATTCTTAACTTGCAATGAAAAAAAATTAAAACATTTGACAAGGCAAGGGAATGAATTATGCATGGCAACACCCAGCCAGGGATTGCTCTCTTCCAGACGGGGGTACACTTGCCTTTGTGCTTCCCGAAGTACCCAGCCAGCCCTTCACTGATTTATACTGCCTGCTTGGCTCCTGGAGGCAACCAACTCCAGACCCTTGCCCTAAGCTGACCTTTGGGGCAGAAAGGAAATGATTATCCCCAAACAGAATTAAGGGAGACCACATCTGACTCTGACATCCGTTAGGGCAGCAAGGGGAAGAAACCCCTTTAAATGGGCCTGGGACCTTCCCACTATGTACACATGTAGGGACAGTGCTCAGCAGTTACCACCTATCAAAGCATGCCTTGCCCCAGGATCACACATGAACAGCAGAAATGAACCTAAGAGACCACCTTTGCCCTCCTTTTTCTAACTCCATAGCACTGAGCAGTTCTATTTTTTCAGCTGTCCTCTGGGAGAGCACAAGATCAGAGATCAAGTTCATGAAAATTGCCCCAGACTAGAACCCTTTTACCACTGACACCTCTGGGTCTCAACTCTGTGCTGGGCTCTGGGAGGGAGTGTCAGGAAATGTGTCTTTCCCTGCCTTGTAGCAGCTCACTATAGAGTGGGGAATGGCTCCCTGCCAGCAGAGATGTTTTGTCTTGATCATCCATCAATTTACTCAAAACATCTGATTGTTACTGTGCACCTGTTTTAGTCATGCTTGGCACAACTCCCTCCTCTGTGTAGTTCCTTTAAGGCCACATTCAGATGCTACTTCTCTGGTTGGCTTTTCCAGGCCATGTGACCCCTGCTAGCTGGCTGAGTCCTTTTGTATATTCAGCCCTGACCTGTACTGTGGTCTATGGTAAGCATTTATCATATTATTTGGTTAATAACTATTTTCTCACGCCGGACCTTACTTTACACCCTACCCCTGCTCACCAGACAGTGCCAGCACACATTTGCTGGCCCAAACTGTTATTTGACTGAATTGATCACATGTGGTTTTCCAAAGAACAGACTGGGAATTTGTGTGGGCATTTTTAGCTGTCACAAGACTGGAGAAGCAGTGCCAGCATTTAGAGGCAGGAATTAGGGATATGGACTTCTTGTAATGGACATGACAGTTCATCACAACAAATTGTCCTCTGTCTTGCAGAACCTTCCAATGTCTGCCAAACTTTCATGTAGGGGGAAAAGAAAGAAAAACCTGCTGATAATGTGTTATATACAAGTATGATTAAACTTTTCCCATTTTAATGTACACCATGTTGCCCAGGAATACACAGACCAGGTTAACAGCAGGAAGTTATACTTTGTTTTCTTCACCATTTTGGAAAATCACTATGGACTTGCTTACCACAGGTGAGTCACCAGAACAGTACGCCCATGTCTGCTGGCATTTGTAGCTGTCACAGTGACTACATGCTGGGAGACAAATATACTTAGCCTTTGACTCAAGGTCAAAGTTCAGTTGAATTACTGTCTTATTAAGTCTAAATTCCTAAGCAGTTACAAGCATCATGGGGTTTAATCCGAGGGTTTTTTTGTTTGTTTGTTTTTTTACAAAAGGCAATGCATATTGTTATTATAAGCTGCTGTCATTTCTGTCACTTCTCCTTTACGGACAAGGCACACTACTCATTTTTTGTTTTGTTTTTGAGACGGAGTCTCGCTATGTACCCCAGGATAGCCTCAAACTCTTGATCCTCCTGCCTCCGCCTCCCGAGTGCAGAGACAACAGGGTTCACCGCCGCGCGGGGCTCTGATTTTTTTTTTTTTTAACCAGGAGGAGCCACGGCGTGGGTTGTACACCAGGACGAACTCGCCCCTTCCCTTCGCCTCAACTGCCCGCTTTTAGCAACTAGGCTCAACCCCCATGTGCTGGGGCACCGGAGAGAAGCGCAACGGTCACTCAGACCAGTCCTCCATACCCAGCCTCAGACGGCTCATCTGTCACAACCATCCAGCAATCCCCAAACGGAAACCACGACCCCAAACCCGGCCGGAAGCGACGTCTTCCGCTTGCTGTGGGCTACGGCGCCTGCGCAGGCCCCCCTAGGACGCGCTGGTGACTAGTGCGCATGCGCTCTCTGCACAGCCAGGCTTGCGCGGTGAGGGCGGCTCCCACGAGTCCTCGCGACAGCGGAGCAGACGATCGCGGCGTCCTTGCCGCGTGGGTAGTTGGCTAGGTAGTTACTGGAGTGCACCCAGCCTCAAGCTTTCTACAGGTGTCCGTACCCACAAAGAGAGGTCAGGTAAAGCAGCAGAGTAATGATGGGAAGGTTAGGTCCGGCTCTGCGGCCCTCTCTTCCGGGGTGGAGGCTGAACTTGTCCGGGGAGTTTTAAAGTGGGCTTGTGCCCTCTCGCTCCCACACACCCCAGGCCTCTGAGAGCCACTTGACTGCGAAGGCGTGGATTGCGTTTGAGCCTCCCCCTCCGGATGGATAAGATATGTATAAGGCAGTAGTGGGCGGAAAGGGTTCTGGTACTGAAAAGGGCACCCCCTCCCCCAATTGGTTTCAGCAACGCCCTTAAGTCCGTGAGTGTTTACTAGCGGTTGTTATGTTACTCTCTTCCACCCTCTCTCACCCAGAGTTCTGGCTTGGCCCTGACTCTTGACCCCTTGCTGAGCTGAAAATGCCCCTCCCATCCCACGCCGATTCTTCTCCGGCACCACCCACCAGTGATTGATTGAGCTCCTGCTGCCCAGGAAGGGGACTACGCTTGGCTGGGCAGGTCACTTCCCACCGTGATAAGTGACTCAGGCATTTGGGTCTGCGGGGTGCAAGAAAAAGGACAGGGAAACCAGGAAAGGCTTCTGGAGAAAAGGAGAAGACCCTGATGTGGCTATGAACGATGGGAAGTTCAAGCTCATTGGAGTGAAGGTGCTATTCCAGCCTTAGGGAGGCCCCTGCCTGAGAGTTAAGCCGCTTTCTGGATATTTGTTACTTCCTGAAGATTATCCCCCTGAACCTTTCCCCAGCTGTGCTTTCCTCCACTGCAGCCCCACCAAACCCACACAGGGGCTGAACCAGAAATCTGGGAGCTATCCTCAGTTCCTGCCTTTCTCTCCTCTTAATACCATATCTAGCTCTTCTCAGGATGAATGTCATCCTTCAAGTGCATTATGGTTTTCATGACTGACTCCTTGATGTCTCCCATCTCACCTCACCTAGTCACTGCATCTCATTCATTCCAAACTACTTGATTGTCCTAAAACTCAACCTGCTTAGCTCATGCCTCTGAGCTTTACCAAGTGCTCCTCTGTCTGGAATGCCATTCATACCTTCTCTCTCCTGGTTCATCTGGTGAACTCCAGTTCCAAGCCTTTCCCTAAGTCCCACACTGACACATAGCCCCAAGGATGGCAAGCCTCCTTTTTCTAGAGCAGAGCATATTTTATATTTCTCTTCATTCATTCCTGAAATGCTTATTAAACACTGACTGTGAGCCAGGCTTTCCGAATTTCCTGGGTTGGAATTCTACTCTGCTATATTTGTTTGCCTGTCACTGGTCAGGGAATGTCACTCATGAATCCCCTGTGCTGAGCACAGTGCCCAACACACAGCAGGCATCCAGTTACTGCTTCTTAAAGGAGTGGAAAAACAGACAGGGAAGAGAAAGCCTGAAACCTAGATAAACAGTCTTCCCATTTTCATCTGTGTTTATAACCAGTTAGTAACAAGTTCTTTGAAGAATAACCCTGGGCCTAGAAAGGGAGTCGAAAACAGGTAGATGGAAAGTCTGCATGGCTCCTACAATGTGACAGTGGAAGAGTTTGCTCAGTTCTATGCTAATGGCTTCCTGCAATTAATTGGCACCTCTGAAAGGAAAAGAAGCCATCTACCCCTCTCCAAGAGGAATTTTCCTCTCCTGCAGTGCTTTCCAGCTCTCCAGCTCTCAATCCCTTACCTTCCATAGTACTTGATATGATAATCAATAGCAACACCCACAACAAACCAGCAGTCAGGTCCTGGGAGATGAGCAGGGCTGAAAAGGGTCTTCAGCCCCCATCTTTGAACTTAGAATGAGAACACTTTGTTCTAAAGAGCAAAACTCTGGGACTCCCACTTGTCCTGTGGACAACTCATCTGTGGGAGGGGGAGCGTGGGTTAGCACAGTAGGGGAACAGCTCCTTGAAGGCCAAATTAGCCCAGGGATCTGCTGAGTGGAAAGGAAGAGGCTGTTGCTAGGCCACCGGTATACCCCCTCCTCCTCTCAGGGCTGTACTGCCTGCTAGGGAAAAGCTGTGGATTTCAAGGAATGCAGATGTTCAGAACAAAGGCTCAAGGGAGGCAGGTGGGAGGCTGGACTGTTCAGGCTGGCCTGTGAAAGCAGAGCAAGGCAATGTCATTTGTTTTTTAATATAGGTAATATTTGCATCTCAGAGTTATCTGGGTATTAGAAGCTTTTAAAAAGACGTATGGAAAATATTTAGCACATCATAGGCGTTCAATAATAGTTGTTCATTCAGCACATGTTTACTGAGTGCCCCTAAGTTACTGACACCTAGAATCAGTCCTTGAGGAAGGTACTTTTCAGTGAGGAACTGAATTTAAAAGCTCCACGACTTTGTAGGCTACATTAGGTGGTGTGATGTGCTGGGGAGGAAAATGAAGCAAGATGAGTGGCAGAAGCCCTGAAAGAGCCTCACAGCGGGGATGGAGGGCATTTGAGCAAAGGCCTAAAGGAGTAGGTAGGGAAGAGCATTCTGGGCCAGCTGAGAGCACAGCCACTACACAGGCCCTGAGGTGGGAGTCCCTGCTGTGGTTAGGAAAGTAACATCTGACCACTGAGACTGAATCAGCTGTTCAGAGGAGAGCAGTGGGAGAGGAGCCTGGAAAAGAGGCAAGAGGCACCAGGGCCTGTAGGTCTTGGCGAGGACTTTGGCTTTTCCTCGAGTGAGGTGGGAGCCACTGGGAAATGCTGAACAGCAGAGTGAGATCACGGTCCTCTCATTTATCAGGTCCCCCTGGCTGGTGTTTGGAGAGGGGGCACAGGTGGAAGCAGGAGCCCAGGTGTGAAGTGCTGATGGAGTAGTTGCTAGCCAGAACAGCCCACTTGCAGCAGGCTCACTCTAAGCCCCTGTCCAGAGCCCCTGCTGTGTAGAGGGTAGGTACTGACTACTCCATTTAATTTCCAGCATCCAGACTAGGACACTGGTTCTTAGAGAGGTGAAACCACTGGTCTGCTTCCACACCAGGTTCTCCTTGTTCTGGCAAGGGGTTGTTGATAGAAACAGCTTCAGACAGAAAAAAGCGACAAATGGAGGCCCAGGCTCTCTGCTGTTTGCGAAAACAGGCCCTTTGGCTATCTGCAGCCTGTGGTTCAGCTAGGGCTGTGCCACCAAGGGTTCTCTTTAGGGAGCAAATATGGTTGCCACCTCTTGGGCCTTAATGATGAGAAGCAGAGTGAGTACCATGATCTGGCTTTCCTTTGAACAGGCTCCTGGCTGATGTTTGGGGAACAGACTAGAGGCCAGAGTACAAGTGGGGAACAGTGGAGAAAATCACTCAAACCTGGTGTGGGTCTGGGGTCAAAAGAGGAAACCCCAGTTCACACTTTGTTCCCAGAGTGAAGCATGTTGAAAGCAGAAGTGAAGCGGTCCCATAGGAAGCCCCAGAAGGGTAGAAACAGGGAGGGAAGGAGATGAGATGGGAGATTTCCCTCACCCTATTCCACCAAATACAGCCCTGTCTTACCTGCAGGCCAGGTGCTGCTTTGTCCTCTAGCTGCTGCTGAGCGTCTGTGTCCCTACCTGGAAGAGGGTAGAGGCTCTTATCCCAGCTGGGTTCTTGCTCTAGGAAGGGTGGTACCTATCCCTTGTTCAGCTGACTCACCTTGGACTGGGATAGGCCCAGGTCAGGCCTTGTGACTGGGTAAAAAGGCAGTGGCCAGGCCCACAGGAGGCCTTTGCCTTAGTCTAGGTTCTGAGGTGGGGTTAGGACGCACACAGCTGATGAGTGTAAGTGCTGTTCAGATGGGTTGGAACCTAGGCTGCTTGGCCTCTTGAGGTAGTCTGAAGTTGGACTGAAGGCCTAGTCCTGATGTGGGAAAGGCAGTTGCCTGGAAGGCCTTTAGGTAAGTGATCTGGATCATAACATTTCTATTGGCATATATTAGTTGTACAACGGGTTTCTTTGTGGCATTTACATACGTGGTATTCTGTTACAGTAGAGCTCAGGGCCTGTTACCTAATAGAGATAATCTGCAAATCCTGAATGTCCACCACTGCAGTCTGGCTAAATAAGTCATCACTGATGGACGATCACAGCCTTTTAAAGTTATTTAAAGCAAGGAGCTGTGAGGAAATTTTCCTGAGATGCTGGTGAGATAATGTAAGTCAGTATTGCAGCTCTGCTCTCGTGTTTTATTTTCAGAGGAGTAGAGATGTAGTACAGATAGTTCAGGAGGGTATATGCTCAAGTGGCATACGAGGGGCTCTGGATTGGGGAACTAAGAATGAGCCTGCCTGACTCCCTCCGGTGCTGGGGATCAAGCCCAGGGCCTCCCATGTGCAAGACAAGGGCTGTATTGCTGAGCTGTATCTCCAGCACCATGAGCTTTTCAGTTTGTACTTTTGTGTGTGTTCCATGATGATAATATTTTTCTTTTTTGAAGTTTTTGCTTTGATTTTTTGTTTTTTTGTTTCTGCTTAAAGTTTTTGTAAGTAAGGAGCAAAATAATTTTTTTAAAAAAGGAATATTGAGCCGGGCCCAGTGGCTCATCCCTGTAATCCTAGCTACTCAGGAGGCAGATGTCAGGAGGTTTGCGGCTCGAAGCCAGCCCTGGGCAAGTAGTTTGAGAGACCCTATCTCAAAAATACCTAACACTAAAAGGGGCTGATGGAGTGGTTCAAGGTGTAGGCCCAGAGTTCAAGCCCCAGTACTGCAAAAAAAAAAAAAAAAGGAGAATTGATTGGTCGTCTCCTGAAAGAGGAACTAAAGAGCTGTGTATTGGAGTGGGAGGAGATTTTCTATTTGTAGCACATTTTAATGCCTTTTAAAT